TCCATCAAAGATCTCTGCACGTAATGTTGAATACTCTAAGGAAGCAAAAAGGCTGTCAAACAACCATCCCACAAAGACAACCCCCATCCCTGTCCTGGGCAGAAACCTGCCCCAACACACTGCTGTGCACTTTGAAAGCCCAGTTCTGTCCTGAAGGGACCCTGCCTGGTACAGACTATAAGTAAATTCAGGCTCCAGCTTCTTCAGTCCTGGGCTTGGCACACATTTGCAGTGAAACACGTTTCCCTCTTTGTGTCCCACACTATGATCCTGTCGTATGGGACAGAGGAGGGCCAAAAAATTACAGACCTGGGGTTGTAACTACCTCTCTGGCTGTGAAAGCTGTGTTCTCTCCCAGTTCTGTGCGATACTCTTTCATTTTCTCCAACATTGGCTCATCCGTGGGATAGAAAAGCAAGTAGGAAGCAGCACATTCAGCAGCCAGTGCCTGGTTCCCAACTTGGGCAAGAACAGAACAGAACAAACAGGTTTGTCTCTGAAAGACTTGCCGTTAGCAGAAAATAGCCCAGCAGCACCCAATGGCCCGGTCGAGATCCAGCAGTAGGAGGCCTTACACCGAGTACACATCAATCCCTGCCTAGTTGGGTCTCTATCCAACGAAAGGCAGAGAACACAGGGAATGAGCCCTGTGAAGAATGGGCAACTTCCAATACTTATTGGGAGCTTGTTCAGAGGAGATGGAGAAAAAAATAAGCATATGTTTGGAAGACAGACAGTCCTACCTCCCTCACCCAACAGACATGATGAGGGGTCTGGAGGCTTCTCTGAGATACGAGTTTTACCAACGGTCTGACAGAGGAGAATAGAGACGGTTGGGTCAGTGTGGGAAGGAGCAGAGGTATCCAAGAGAAGAGCTGAGGGACGTGTGAAAGTGACAGGGTGACAGGATGACCCATGTCACGACAGGCCACCAGTTCAGTGAGGGCAGGCGGGGCTGACTCAGAAGGAACATCACTGCTGAGATGAGATGCAGGCGCATGCTCTAGATAGGAAGCGGGGGCCTGGTCTGGAGCCACGTACTGAAAAGGAGAGTATAAAATACACAGCAGATCGTTGGAGCAAGGACTTGAAACGGAGAACGCTGGGGCAAAGAAGCGGGAACAGCCACACATTACCGAAGCTGCACAAGGAGACTGAAGTGGACCACGAGGGACCTCACCCAAGGCGGCCACAGGCTTGCGCAAGAGAAAAGAGGTTCTGGGAAGAGTTGGGGGGCAGACGAGGTACAGAGAGGTAGAGCTCAGGTCAGCGTGCCGCTTCTCCCCGTGACATGCCGCCCTCCAGGCCCAGAGGCAAAGGGCAAGTTTAGGGGTGCCACAGCATAACCCGCTGGGTTGTGGCTCTGCTCACCTTGATCGTAGGCAAACTGCAGTAAATCAAGATGAGAGGGTATGAAATCTTCCGTGGCAGAAATCCGCCCCGGCTTTGTGGCAATTTCAAGGACGCACTGCTGTCTGCACTTCAAAACCTGAATATAATGGGCTGCAAGAGAGAGGAGCAAGAAAGGCAGTAGCTCACACCTCTTCCAGAGAGGAGCGCTGGGGAATGGGGCACGTCCAGCGTGGGCAGCATGGCCTTCCTACCCAACCCCCTGCGCCTCTAACGCTACCTGCAATGGCTTCGTACAGGCCAGGTTGCATTTCCTCCTCCTCCTCCTCGTCCTCGTCCTCCCAAGGCCCTTCACACAGGGCACGACACTCTTCCAGTGCTGCCAGAGCCTCTGTGAGTGACTCCTCCAGCCTGGCCACAGCCTGCAGGTACTCATCCGCATTGTAGTGCTGCACCCCAGCCTCATATGCTTCCTGCAAGGGACAGATCCAGGTCCCTCATCAGTGTGGGTGTCACCGATGGATGCCCCGAGTCGCTCGCAGGGTAGTGCTGACATCTAGGGGCCTGCCTGATCATGCACAGCCCACCACGCAGTGACAGCAAATCTCATGGACTTCGGCCAAATATTCTTCTCCAAGGCCCCGCAGCCTGCCATAATTGCCACCGGAAAGTCTCCGTGTCACACTTGCAATGGTTTGTCCTCACCCCGGAGAGAAGGCTTTGGGGAGACTTTCTTGCAGCCTTTCAAACAGAAAGGGGGCTTATAAGAAAGACTGAGCGAGACTTTTGACCAAGGCCTGTGGTGACAGGACAAGGAGTAACGGTTTTAAACTGAAAGAGGGTAGACTTAGATTGAGGATAAGGAAAGACATTTGTTATGACGAGAGTGGTGAGACACTGGAGCAGGTTGTCGAGAGAAGCTGGGGATGCCCCATCACTGGAAGCGTTCAAAGCCAGGCTGGACGGGGCTCTGAGCGGCCTGATGCAGCGAAAGAGGTCCCTGCCCATGGTAGAGGGGCTCGATGACCTCTAAAGGTCCCCTCCAGCCTGAGGCGTTCTATGTACGGGAGCCCTGCCTCAGGCCCTTGCGCGGGAACAGATGAGGGTCCCAGACTGGTCCCCAGGAGGGGATAAGAGCTGCGGACGCCCGGCTCCGCGTCGAACCCTCACCCAGTGCGGCGTGGCCTCCAGGTCCCTGAAGTTGTCCGACTTCACCCCAGACATGCGCCGGTACTTCTCTATGTCCTCCCGCATTTGGAGGTGCTGGGGGTTAGCGACGAAGAAGGTGTGAGCGGCGGACACGGCCCGGTCCAGCTTCTTCAGCTGCGGAGTAAGAGCCGGCACACCCCCGTCACGCAACTCCTGCGGGTCCCCCCTTCTTCTTCAGGCCCCCCCCTCGCCCCAGCACTCGCCCACCAGGCGCCCGTGTCCCCGGCCGGCCCTCGCCCACCGCCTCCTCGGCCGGCCGGTGGTCCCCCAAGGCGAGGGACGGCTGAAGCCCCCCGGAGCCTGCCCGGGGCGGGTGCCATCCCTCCCTCCGCCCCTCCCTCCGTCCCGGGGGCCCCCTCGCGGGTCCCCACCTGGAAGAAGGCCACTTGCAGGTAGTTGTAGGGCTCCCTCTGCTCGAAGTCCCGGCGGACGGCGCGGCTGGCGCGGTGAGCCGAAGGCGCGACGCCCAGCCGCAGCCCCAGGCAATGCTGCAGGCAGTCGGCTCGCTGCAGCACCCGCCCGAAGAGGGCGGCTTCCCAGGGCCCGGCCGCCCCCGGCCCGCCGAGGAAAGCCGCTTCCCGGCGGCAGGCGGTGCGGCAGGCGCGGC